GCCCAAACATTGTTATAAATATGGTGACAAAGATGAGGACAATAGTCCAAATAATGTAAATAGTGTACATAAACACATGTGTAAAACACAGCTTTATTCAATCCTCTTCTATCTGCTGGTTACATGTCTGTATTAACAAAAATAAAGGTTTAAATAATAATAATATCTGATCTTCAATTTGTTTATAATTTATAAAAAATGAGTGAGCGAGTGGTTGCTAAGTACATTTAATTTTGTGTTAAAATTGACCTCAAATGTTGTCAAATGTTTGGTCTTGTTTAATTTGTCTTCAGCCAGCAGTTACTTTTATACATTCAGTTTAATGAGTTGGTTGTGGGTATAAACACTTTTGATGAGAAGTTATAAGCTCCTGATACATTTGACCCACTAACAAATTTGGTGGACTTGTGTTAGTCCAAAGGAAAAATAAGACGTAGAATTTGAACAAAAATTTGAACAAAAAAATTTTTTAAATATTTTGGCAAGAAATTTTAGAAAAGATGTGAAAATTTCAAAGCAACCTTAAGTTAATTACATTGCAGGAGCGAAAAGAATACATTTTTTAGTATCTGTCTATATTTCTGAGATGAGGTATTATGTACACTATTTACATTATTCGGACTATTGTCCTCATCTTTGTCGCCATATTTATTATGTTTTGGCCGTTGTACGCTCCGGCCTTCTTCAGGTGGTTGAAATGTTCAACTGAACCTTTTATTTTGCTCACTGGGGTAGACTGTTCTAGTTCCATGTGCCATGTTTAATGGATGTCAGTTATCAGTTATCTCCTGTTAAGGCAGTGGAGAACTTGGAGAGGGGAATTAACAGGAGATAACTGATAACTGACATCCATTAAACATGGTACGTGGAACTAGAACAGTCTACCCCAGTGAGCTAAATAAAGGGTTCAGTTTGACATTCCAACCACCTGAAGAAGGCTGGAGTGTGCAACGGCCAAAACGTAATAAATATGGCGACAAAGATGAGGACAATAGTCCAAATAATGTAAATAGAATACATTTTTTCACTATGAAAAGTCACTGAGAAAGAGAGCAAGTCCCTCAAATCTCACATCACCTGTAAATATCGTCAGTGGGTGATCATTCAAAAATCTTGCTGCAGTGAGATTTTGTGATCGTGGACAGTAACCCAACAGTCGATAAGCTTCTAAATTACGGATCAGGCTACATCTTAATACCAAATTGAAGAAATCTAGTGGCTGATCTGCAAACAATGACAAATTTAAAACCTTCCAGAGTTGGCTGATCACAGAACATTTAGAGAGTTACGTGTGTAAGGAGTGCAATTTTATTAAAAGTCATGCCAGTTTATGAAATGTTACTAATAAAGATTCTTACCAGCATCTATAAAAGACTATTTCATACTGATGATTCCCCACCCCCATGTTGTAAAGCTACTCCCTGTGTGTGTCAGATGAAGGCAAAATTCCTCTAAAGAACCCAGTATTGAACAAAATTAGACAAACACAATAAATTTAGATACAATTTCATTAAATTGATAAGAAGCTTTTATAATGCATATTATTTAATGGAGCCTGAATTATATCCTACCAGAAATGAAAACGACTAAAAAGTCAATAATACGATCTTATAATAAAAACTGAAAGCTGTGTAATAGATTCAACAGAATGGTTTGACCTCAGTTCATGTGATTAAACATCAATGTAACATGTCAATATTAGATATAGTCCAATAAAAGCAAAGCAGATCATCCAATCTTGTTAAGTACATAAGATGATGCACAGATTTAGGAAAATTGGTTTGGTAAGGTGAATGTATTTTGTCAATTCTGGCTCCTCGGCGTGGTGTAATGGTTAGCAAGCTGGTCTTGCTAAAACTGTTACAACTGACTAGTGAGTTTGATCCTCACTGGGTGCCCCATACTTTCGGCCATGTGCCACATCTAAGCCTCGTTTAGAAAATCAATATATTTTGTCAATTGAGTCAGTGTGCAAAATTGGGCAGTGCCAGGTAGACATTAATTTCAGAAGTCAGTCCTGTTGTCCATACTGCTGTCAGATGATTTGGCTGCAGAAGGAACTTGATCTCTTGTCCTCTCTCTAAACAGAATTCTAAATCGGGGGTCGGAAACCTTTTGTTAATTCTATTAGGGTTTTAAAATCATTCAGTGTGCCAACAGCATACATATTTTTATACAAGTCAATGTACATGTTCTACAATATATTTTATAAAGTAATATATTATACTTTAGTATATATTAAAATTGAAACCATTAAATATCTTCTTTGCTTTGTAGTAGTTTTTGGTTTGGAATTTGTGACGTCATTTGCGGTTGCATGCCATATGTGGCACGTGTGCTATAGATTGCCGACCCCTATTCTAAATAATGCAAGAACTTGACAATTATAAACAAAGGGTGTTTGAATTGTAATTTCAACCATCCTACCATTAAGACAGCAATCATTGAAGTAAAATGAAGCCATGTCTTTACAAGTAGCTTATGAAATGAAAATGATTATTGAAACCAGGAATATTTCATAACCTTTAAAATTATTACAGCTGAATTGATATCTCTAGCCATAATCTTATATTTATTTATTTTATGCAGGTCACACTCGGTATTCAACTGCAGGTTCATCAGACGTAGTTAATTGTCAGCCATTTGTTGTTGAAACTCTTCATGGAAAAATTGGTGTTGCTCATAATGGAGAACTTGTTAATGCTAACTCTCTAAAGAAGAAGGTAAAAAAAATTGTTTTTGTATTTTCAAATCCATTTTTCATTTTCTTGAAAGCAAAATATAATGAAAAATATTAATTTTATTTTTGCAGTAACTCTTTGAAACCTGGTGATTTTTACTGCCATGTTTACTTTAATATTGACTGAAATCCTGATAACCTCCTAAACACAGGGTTTGTACAGGTCCTGGAAACCTTGAAAACTCTGGAAAATTGACTGGGCCTTTTCCAGGGCTTGAAAAGTCCTGAAAAACAGCAATAGCTCAAAAGTACATAGAAAAATTGTGGAATTTTCTAAACTGGGTTGCCCACACATCCTTTTCCTCAATTCATGTAATTCATAATGCCATATTCCATAAATCTGGCTTTTTTACAAGATAAAACTTTCCTTTAAGAAAAATTTTTTTATAGTCATCAGTAATATTTGGCAATTATTGTGAACAGTAGTTTGTTTCCTTGATTAGAACAAGTTCATGGCCTCATAGTTCTGTATTTTCTTGTCTAGGGGACAAGAAAGAAAGGGAGAAAGAATATGAAGGCATGTCTTTTAGCTATTACCCTCACTCAAGAAGAAAAGAGGAAAGACAAAGATAAAAGCTATTGGAGACAAGTAAACATTTCCGTCAACGATAAATTAATTTACACTCATTGAATTTATTTGCCTTGTCCCCGCCAAAAAAGAGCCCGTATTTGCTTAGCATGTAAAGCTACTGCAGTTGAAATGAGGGAGAAAAAAACCCTTACCGCTCTGCCATAATCCGTCCATGGCCAAATAACGTAAAAGAATGAGGGGGGACTTACATTGCATTTTTATGCAATAAAGATACAATGCATTATGGGACATGGACGCAATGAATTATGGGATCACATGAAGACGCAAGGGATTATGGGTATATGGACAAATATAAAAGCAACTCTCTTCTCTGCAGTGCTTTCAATGCCAGAACAGCATACAACCAATACCTTGAGGCTAGGAAGAAGCAGCTGGACAAAAATGGAAGTCCATACTAATGGAAATTGAAGAAGTGAGGACCAAAAACAAGCTTGAAAGTTGCACAAGATTTGCTCAAATCAGCTGACGGTTATGTGGAGAAAAACTGAGCGGACTCAGAACTTCACACTTATTCCAATGCCATGCGAAGACCTGCAAAGGACAAATTCATAGAGATATCAAAATTGCAAAAGGAGGTGAATGCTAAGCTAGATGAACTTAAAAAAAAAAAATATCACCATCATTGTGTTCTGTGGCATTGGCAACAAGCCATGAGTAAGTAAGAGTATCTAAAATGTGTCATCTTTTTATGAAAATTTTTGTTTGTAGTTTTGTTTATTAAAATCACCATAAATAACATCACCGGAAATGTTCAGCAAGAATTTTTATGACATTTACAAACCATGAATAGACAAGATGGCTGAAATGTGTAGCAGTAAGAATTAAAGTGTGTAATTGAAAATTTTCAAGTGTAGTAGAACTCCAAACTGTAGAATGCTACACAAAATGTGTAACGTAACCAGGTCTGTATTCAGTTGTGTTTTAGCGTTCAACACTTTGGTTTCTTCACTGCTTTCAACTGTAAAATAAATTATTGGAACCAACTGTAGCTTTTCTTTGAAAATCTCATCTCTCAAACTATTAAGATAAATCTTTTTTTTGAAATTTCACTTTGTGTTTGTGTGTGTGCACCAGTTTTAGTCCTTAAAACTTCTTAACATAGTTCTGGAAAAGTCCTGGATTTTTTTTTTTACACAGATCTGTGGGAACTCTTCAAAGAAATGTTTTTCAAATGTCAAGCCTTTTTTATTACAGCAATCGATAGACAGGATCTTTGATATCAGGCCTTTTCAATCTATAAATATAATACAAAGTGACTTTATCATTTGCACAATCTGATCTCATTACTTAGCAATAATATATTTATTATTGTTCTCATACAAAAATCACTTGAAATGATCATGCTTTGTGTTACAATAGCCATGGAATGTTATTATCTAATGGGTGTGTGGCTGATTGGTTAAAAGGGTTGCATGAGACTTGTGTTCAAATTTCACCATGGTCAATTTATCAGGAAGGTAACTTGATGATATCAGCCCAGGAAGATGATCTCAGCATGTGGCACTGTTAGTGGGTGCCTGAAAACCATACCACAACTTGACCCAAGCCATGTGAGTGAAATATGGTAGCTAAAACTGTTTCAGAAGCTGTTAATGGTTGTGCTAGTATAAAGTAACAAATCACCATTACCAAGCGTTTGAGGGTACTGGGTTTTGATCACCCCAGATTATGTGCTCCTCTCTCTCTCTCCATCCCACTCTCACTTTCTCTCTCTCTCCATCCCATTCTCACTCTCTCTCTCTCTCTCTCCATCCCACTCTCACTCTCTCTCTCTCTATCCCACTCTCTCTCTCTATCCCACTCTCTCTCTCTCTCTCTCTATCCCACTCTCTCTATCCCATTCTCTATCCCACTCTCTCTCTATCCCACTCTCTCCATCCCACTCTCACTCTCTCCATCCCACTCTCACTCTCTCCATCCCACTCTCACTCTCTCCATCCCACCATCCCTCTCCATCCCACTCTCTCTCTCCGTCCCCCTCTCACACTCTCTCTCCCACTCTCCTCTCTCCATCCCACTCACTCTCTCTCTCCATCCCACTCACTCTCTCTCATCCCACTCACTCTCTCTCCATCCCACTCTCACTCTCTCTCTCCATCCCACTCTCTCTATCCCTCTCTCTCTGAAACTAAGATCTGCTCAGTATAGTTGCTGCATAAACCACTGGTTGGATCTATGGGTGTTGAAGAAATACAAATGTGCCTGAGCAGGTTTCTGCAACAGGAATAGCTAACCACCCTAGCAGTTGGCCATACATGCATTACAAGGATGGGCTGAAAAGTTCATAGGCTGACAATAAAGGGTTTAGCCACCATGGACATTCATGCTGACATCATTGCTACATTATGGGATAGCACTCCAGCTTTATCAACAATGCAAAAGTCAGTAGCTGAATTTAGTGGGGGGATGAGAGTCTTGAAGATGACCCAAGGTTTGGACAACTTCCTACAATTACCACCACTGAGGAAAACATTAACCATATTCACCACATAATGGATGACAGGCAATTGATTATAACTTAAATAGTTAACGCTATTCGCATATCCTGTGAGTGAGTTGAGAATATTCTGCACAATGAACTTTGCATGACGACTGTGTTTCTGCTTGGTGGGTGCCATGTCTTCTGACATCTGATCAAAAGCACACCAGGCTGATTAAATCATAGGAAAATCTGACATTGTTTGAGGCATATCCAGCTGTCTTCCTTGAATATTTCCTAACCCAGGATAAGGGTTGTGTTCATTACTTTGAGTCAAGAAAACAATCTATGTGCTAGAACACCTCTCCTCATATGCTCCAAAGAAGGCCAAGGTGTTTTCATTTGCAGGAAAGGTGATAGCCTCATTTTTGGGGGATGTAAAAGGTATTGTGTTCAAAAGGCTACACCATCAATTCAGAGTACAATGCTAACTTACTGAGGCAATTACAAAAGGCTATCATGATCAAACATCCAGGAAAACTGACAAACAGGGTCTTGTTTCATCAGGACAATGCTCCTTGCTTTCAATGGCTGCTGTGAATGACTGTGACTTTGAATGGTTCGATCAGCTTCCTTTTTCTCTTGATTTGGCCCCCATCTGACTATCATCTGTTCTCCAACATGAAAAAGCACTTGGCTGGGGACCAGTATTGCAGTGATGATGACATCATATCTGTTGTTGACTTTTTTAACCAACAGGATGAAAGATTCTTCACCAATGGGATCCAAATACTGTAACATGCAATGGAAGACTAGTGCAGACCACAAGGGGGACTGTTGAAAAATAAACCTCATTTGGTCACATACCATGAGACTATCTTGGTCAGCCTATGAACTTTGCAACTGCCTCATACTTTCTACTTTTGTTTCATGCTGGCTTTCCTTGATTATTTTTAATAATTTAAAAATCAAAAATCTTTGATAGTCACTCCTTAGCAGTAGTCAAGGCTTGTGTATGTGCATATGCATCTAATGCCCAGGAAAAATGATAATTAAGGTTTGGTGAATAGGGAGTATAGGGTAGGAGCTTCATGCCTAACTACAATTTTTACTGGATGGTTTTTGAAGTAAGAAGTCTTGCATTATCAAGTTGTAGAATAATTCAAGACCCCTTTCTGGCCAATTTTTGATGCATCAGTTCCAGATCACAACAACAGGACATGGCCATGATGGTTTGGAGAGCTTGCAAGATGCTGTCATTGATTACTCAATTACAGTACCAATAAACAGAGAGGAGAAACTTTTAGAGATGAAGATTTTGTTCTTGAGAATGCTGAGGTAGCAAGAGGTTTGAAAACTCAAACCAATCCACAGAAACCACTTTTTTATTAACAGTATACAAGATTGATAAAGAAAAGGATATTTAAATGATTAAGCAAATGTCAGTGTAAGTTTCTGATCATCAATCAAATGGAGTAACCTTATACCAACATTTTCTTTTTCTCAGCCAATTTGGGCCAAATGTATTGCAATTGTATGAACAACCTCCAACTTTGATTCCAATGTCAATGTTTGTTTCTGTATGAACGTCCATGGTTACCCTCAATTCTTGATTCTCATGTGATGACTTATGACCATCTTGAAAATCCAGGTCACTAGAAGTGAATTTTTGAAATTGACAATGTATTATCCATTCTCAGTGGATGTGCAGATGGTGTAATGGAATGGAAAATAGGAAATCAGAGAGCTGAGTTCAAATTTCACTCAGGTCCATTACATTCACATACATGCAAAAGGTATGAATCCATCTCTTCTCTCTTCCAGCTATGGGTTAAATAGGACATGTACTGGGGAAAAAATCATTGTTAGTCTCAAAAAATTGTTACTGCAATATTCGCACGCACGCACAAGAATTATTCTTAAAATCCAGCTTTAAATAACCCACAAAGTGTTGATAAGTTGTAAAAAAAAAAAAAACAAATCAATCAATGACCCATTCTGAAACTGATTTCAACCACAAAGCATTGATCAGGTTTGAACTTTTGGGTATAATGACATGCATACTGTTTATTTTTTCTTCAATATCCTATAAAAAATAAATAAATCATAATTTAAATACAATGGAGAATATGCAGAGTAGTAAAATGCCATGTGCAGGTATGTGTAAAAAAAAAAAAAAAAAAGGGAGAGAAAGAAAAAATGCCATATGGATGCAAGGTGTAAAAAAAAAATGCCCTCTGGTGAAAAAATTAAAGAAACAAAATGCGTTGTGTGAGAGTGTGTTTTTTTTTTTTTTTTTTTTTTTTCCTGTGGATGTAAAGTATAAAAAAAATGCTTTGAGTGTGTGTGTTTTTTTTTTTTTTTTTTTTCTTAGAGAGAGAGAAATGCCACATAGATATGAGTGTGAACAATATGAAAAATAAGGTAACAATTATACTAAAGCAACATTTAAACAGATATTTCTTTTTTTTTTTCTGTTTAAACATCATAGAAACAGAATATAGATTTCCAGTATTCTAGTTTCTCTCTAAAATTAGTACATAGTGTGGCAAAAATACATCCCACATACTGGTAAGACATTAGTGGCAATAATGTCTTCATTTAGCTAATGTCATACAATTATGTGGGAGGTATTTCTGCCACACTATGTACAAGTTTTAGGGAGAAACTAGAATACTGGATGGAAATAGTCGTGTCTTTGTTAGGTATTTGTTCATTTGTTTCTTCTTGTTTCATATTCTCTAGTAACCTTTTAATACTGTCAAAAGTTTTAGATAAGGTCTATTTACTATGAAGCAAAAAATAAAAATAACTTAGATATTTTCAAAAGCTTTTGTTAAATATTTTTCAGCTTCTACGACATGGTGTTGGCCTCTCAACCAGTACAGATAGTGAACTCATAACACAATTGTTGACACATACACCCCAGGAAGGAGAACCTAATGGTGGAAACTGGGTCACAAGGTTAAGACAAATCTTCATTTATAAAATAAAGTTTAGTAACTAATGTAAAGATAATTGTATGTTTGACTTACTGTTTGCAGAAAACCTCATGTACAAATCCAAATAGATTGCTATATATATATATATATATATATATATATATATATATATATGTGTGTGTGTGTGAAAAGTGTGTGTATATCAATATATATATATATATATGAAATATATATATATATATATATATATATATATATATATATATGCACAGTACTTATTAGAAAGCGCTCAATATCAGAGATAAAGCTAGCAATTGATCGCAAAAGCATGAAACCCAGGGTCACAAACTCACATCAATCCAACCAAATATATATATATATATATATTTTCTGGAGTTCTATTTTAAGAAATTCTGAAAGGGTATGTCTGGTGTGTGGGGACTTGTGGACGACAAAAACAAAATGAGGGGGAAAATTACTTCCAAGCTGAGCTACTTAACTGTATTACTAACATCAAAGAATTCATGTGAACTAAAGTTGAACTTTATGCAGACATCTTGAATTTAAAACCATCTTTCAATTTAATCACCAAGAAAATGGGTCTTAGAAAAATGACACAATTGCCAGCATTTTACTTCTGTGTACCGTGTCCCTTCATGATATGAGCATTCATGGCTTTCCATAGCTTCCTGTCTCTTGTAGCTTTTAATAAGGTTTGCCTTTTTGCCATCCACCCCACCTCTGTTCTGTTATCCATTCACTCAAGCTGGTCAGGTTGGTGGCCATTTTGCTATTTGGGATTTGTCTGACAATATCCTGCATATTACAAAATACTGCTTGTTAAGTATGTTGAATATGTATTTATTTAAATTTCTCTATTCATCCAAATGAAGATGGGGTCTAATTTAATTGATAAAAATCTTGGGCACAACATGACCGCATGTGGTGAGGCTGCTGCAATTCTAGTTGCTCGTAGTTTTACAAGATGGAATTGCTAGCTCCATCTGATAATTTTTTTTAATAAATTTATATTTTCTTATTAAATTTTTTTGTAATTTTTATTTTAATTTTACACCTTGCTTACATTTATGTATGAATTATGTACAAAATATCTGGTTGAAGGCATACAATTGAACTCGAAATACATTTAGTTGAAGACATAAAACTGTGGGCTATATATTTAGATTTTGGCCTTAAATAACCCATAGAGGGTGATATGCCATTGAACAAAATCAACCATCATTTAAGGGTCATCAAATCTTAACCTGGCTAAATTGCAAAATCTGAGACCAGTCATAGTAATGTCTTAAAATAAATGACAATATTAAATTCTGTTCTACATGATTTATATTTTGGATTCGATAACCATTTCAAAAGAATGAAAACAAAGCTAGTGATATTTTATATAAATTGGTAATTTTATTTATTTTTTATTTTTTTATTTTTTTATTTCTTTTTGTGAATTCAAACCATTCCTTGCAGTCAGTGTTTGTTTTGTTTGTTTAGTTGCATATCAACTCCTTATGGGTCATTTAATACCAAAATTTAATTTTCTTGGGAGCATTATTAATTTCTTTTACAAAAATGTATTGATAATTTTTTTTTTTTTTTACTATGAAAATATATTGCTAGTATTTTTACAATAAAAATGTACATTTATACTTTCATAGTACTTTGACCCTAGTTTAGGGGTTAACTATTTGCCAATAGCTAGGACCCTAACAGGTGTTACCACCCTAAGTCAGGTTGGACCTGGAAATAACAGGAATTAAGAGGTAGTTCCATGCACCTTAAAACCTCCTGATCAGAGGCTTTGCTGCCGGATGTAGTTTATTATCATACCCAGGAAGCAGTCAGTGTTATTACATGACTAAGGAATCGAAGAGACAAGTTCAAATTCCAGTCAAATCAATTACATTCACTTATGTGCTAATACCCTTGGGAAAGGTATGAATCCTCTTCTTCTCCCTCCAGCTATGGGTAAATAGCAGGACAGACCAGGTTCTATAGCCTTGGGTGGCAACTGGCCTACTGCAGAAAGAAATGGCAACCTACTGCGGGGTGGGGGTAGTATCTGTCTCATTGTCAGTCAGGTATTGAAAGATACATGATCGCCTAAGCATGTATCACTGACTGAATATTATGGTTTATATAGATATAAATCATAATGTCAATGGTATCATTTAATAAATCTATAGAAATTTTCAATCTTTTCTAATGATTATGTATGGTCTGACAGCAAATACTAAAAGTACATATGTATAATTGATTGGAAATTATTTTACAATGTAAATGCAAATTATTTACTAGCTGTTTATACCTTATATTTGATGAGGTTTATTAAGCAAATCCATCAAAATTACATTCACTGTAGTGATTACATATATAGTGGCACAACAAATACAAAGACATAGAAATTCAGTAAATATTATTTTAATATATCTTTTATGTAAGTTGTAATATTATGAATAGGATGGATTTGTCACAACTTTCATTATTTATAATGCTTAATTTTATAAATGACAAAGCAAAAATAGAAAAATTCTTTGAAATTATTTTAATATTAATTTATGCAAACCTTGATATCAGAGGTTGGACTTTATTAAACAAAAGGTTTTGCAAATTTTTTTTATCTAAAATTTGATCAAATCTTAGCACTAAATTTGTATCCTGTGCATTTAAGATCTAGAAGGGATTGTCATTGAACTATGGGAACTAAGAACTAAGTGTTACTGAAAGAATAGGACTATTTATATGTATAATATAAATACTTTAATCATTATAGAAATGCGTATAAAATTCATTAATGCAAATATATTATTAATAGAATAGAGGTTATATAATGTAATTACAGCATGCTTTTCTTATGCATTTAAAACCCAAAAGAAAAGGATTGTCAGTGGTCAGGAATTGATACAAACATTAACAGCTAAATGACCCAAATATATGTATAATGTAAATACATTGAAAATGAAAAATGGATTCTTTGTTGTCAGGTCTTAAATAGAATTCTACTACTAATAATAATAATAAAAACATGTAGATAATTATTACTAAATTTCAGACAGTGTCATGAATGTTGTTGACAGCTTGATAGCAAAAAAAAAAAAAAAAATTTAACCAAAATTTGCCCTTCATATTTGAATAATAATAAACCAAAGTTTTGTTTTCAATTTTATATTATCTCTTGGAAGTTAATTTGATATTTGGATTACCTCCCTTTCTATATTTTATATTTTTCAGAATAAAAAATTTGATGAACCAAACAAGTTTATCATATTCGCTTTTGGTGATGCACAAGTCAAAAATCTATGCTATCCGAGATCCCTATGGGAACCGTCCACTTTGTATTGGCCAACTTATATCTAAGAAAGATTTTAGTATGGCACATTTTATTTATTTTGACTATTTTTAATCTATTACAAATTTATTTTTTATTTTCAGTTTACAATCCTTGCATTAATAATCATCAAATGTAAGAAATAATTTGAGTTGTGATGAAAAGAAATTTAAAAAAAAAAAAACAAACTTTCATTTAAAAAAAAAAAATTTAAAACAAAATTATTATGTTTAGTATTTATAAAAATACAACGGTAAGAAAATTGGATAACAAAGAATATACAGACAAACCTCTCATCACTGGACTAATAGGAGGAGGGGTGGTCTGTTAAAGCCAATTGTCTGTAGATGGGAAGGGATTGTTTTTGAGTTATAAAACCACTATACTAACTACCAGTAGTTATCATAATGTAAATACTATAAACATGTATATATGATATAAATAAATATATACTTAATATAGATATATTAATCAAAATAACAAAAATAATATATTTCTCATGGATACTTTCTTAAGCATACACTAATGTATCATACTTTATATACTGTATACCCATCATTGTTTACAATTGAAAGGTCAGTCACTGCCGCCAAGTGGTCACTTTGAGAACTAATATGACACATTTCACTAAGCCCGCAAATTTTAAAATACATTGTTGACGATTTGGAAGTTTTTTTTCCTGCTGTTTTTTATTTTTTAATTTTTTATTTGTATAATACATATGTTATGATGAATTATTAGTTTTTTTTTTTTTTTTTTTTTTTTTGATGAGTCGTTGCCTTTTACTTGTAAAAAGGGGAAAGAAAAAAAAAGAAGCATTTTATGACTTTTTGCCTGCAGATTTTGTCCATTGCATCTGAAGTCCATTGATGGAGGTGGGGGGGGCGTCTTAGATGGCAGGTTTGTCTGTGGTCATATGTTTAACATCTGAATTCTGTCTGCTGATAGATCTTTGTGACCTGATCAGTATAGTACTTTCTAGATTCCTAAAAATATAGGATGCAAATTCTCTACTTGTTTACCTACGCCTATATTTCCACTTTGTGTCTTAGTATAAAAATGACGAGTTGGCTAATAAAAAGCACAAAATGAAAGAAAAATTAGTCAGAAATTTAAGAAAGAATTTGGCAATTTTTAACTTTTGTGGCAGCAAATAATAAAAAAAAAAAACTGTTTCAAAAGGATGCTATTTTCCTCAACGCTGCTATTACACTTTCAACTCACTCAGTAATGTTTGTTTTTAAAAATCAATCAAAATTTTAATAAAGCCAAACATAAAAATGGATTTATACATTTTGTTTTTTCTTGTGAATTGACAAAGATATTAAACCCTTGGTTTGGACACATTACAAGGCAAAAAAAAAAGGTGGATGTAATGTTGACGGTTACACACCTGGCCCAGTGTCGGATCCTTTGGTTACGGCGCCAACGGTGACGTCGCTCCTCCTGGTCGCTCCCTCCTGGGTCCAAGCGTGCCGCCCAACCCTTTGGTCAGATGATCATCAGCCTCGCCTTTCCCGACTCGCTTCCAATACCTGGTCACTAAAGCAACTATACCGATCTCCGGTCTGTCTACCCACGCTTGTTTTTTAGACAGACGGGACCAGCAGGGATCGGGGCCGATTTGAGTCCGAAGGGTGGCAAAACACAAATAGAATAAAAACTCAAACCAAACAAAATTGTTGATTAACAACCTTTTATATCTTAAAGTCCGTTAAAAAAAAAAAGTGTTCATTTCCCGAACTATGGCACCAAGCTTCTAAAAATAGAAAAATGTCGAATTACCTACTTTCTAGAATCATGTATGTGTTTTTGGTTCAGTTCGACATTGGGGCTAATTTCTATCGATCATTCGCAGTTGATTCTTCTCTCCGAAAGTTGTATTTCTTCTTCTTCGTCTGTTTGGGCTGGTAGTTTTCCTGTTTCAACTTGGTGGAAGATTTCTGTTTCAACAAGGAAGATTTCTTGTTTCACCGTTCTGAGGTGGTCTCTTCTCACTGCCGTCCGAGCTGAACTTTAACTATCGACTTTCTTCTTGTCTACAGCTCCAATTCTTCTCAGGCTTTCAGGCAATCTTCTTCTTCATCTACTTGGGCTGGAAGTTCTTCTTGTCTGAGGGTTCTTTTCCGCTCCCCGGATGAACTCATTTTTCCGGCTGCAACTCATTGGGGCCCTGCAATTGACGAACAAACTGGGGTGGGTCTGTCGGCGTCAGGTTTTCTCGATAATTCCAAAACTGCATTAATTCTGTCTTCTCCATTATCGCTATTGTTTTCATCCCCTACTTCCTCGCAGTACCTTTGGTGGGCGGCGACATCCATCTCTCTTAGTCTCTCGTATGTCAGGTGACCGCTTTTCAACCAATCGTTCCTGATCAAAAGCATTTCCTTTTCTAGGCATTTTCTTTCCCTTTTCTTCCGCAGTCACGTGATCGTATTCACCAATTGTTATTGGTCGAACATTTTTTTTCCTTTTCTTCCGCAGGTCACGTGATCGATATTCGACCAATTGTTATTGATCGAACATCCTCTCCCCTCTGTTTGCGGGCGTGGTTACATCGTTCTTGTTTAAAAAAAACACAATCAAATCACGTACGCAAAAATGACAATCTTTAGCTTTCTCTCACCTGGACTTTGGACAGCCCGCTGCTAATTAGTCTTGACTTTAGAAAGGATCTTTTCCGCCTTCTTGGCGGAAAAAGCAATTGTCCCTCTTTTTATCTTTGTTTTTCCTGATAGTCGAAAATCTTAATTATCTACATTGAAATGTCTCTACTTTATTAACGTGGGTGTCCAATTCTTAACAGGTCAAAATCTGTATATCGTTCCACTGGTCACTCCCAACCCAAAGAAAATTTCGTTTCTATTGTTCTACAAAGAAATTTCTTTTGTCAATGAGTCTTTCCACCAAAAAGTAGGCCAAGTGCTCTGACCGACATTCTTATCAAAATTGTATTTTCTGAAAATCATGAATTATCTCCACCCTCAATTGGAATGCTAATCGTCTAGTACACTCTTAGTGAATTATTTTCAACTCAGTTATTTTCCGTTTTTAAAAAAAATTAACAACCTGTTTAATAAACTGAGTTGAAAAAATTAAATCATATTTCTAGGAATATTTCTAAAATTGTGTGTTCTATGATAGACCTTTGTGGAGGAGATTTAGTGTGCTTTCCGCATTCAGGTCTCTTTCAAATCACCAATACAGGACCGAACAGTATGGAAAGAAATTGTCAATGGGGTTCCGACCAAGCATAGGGAGGTCGAAGAATGATGAAGAATTCAATATGAAGCTTGTTAAATTGTATGTTCTGACATGAATTATCTCCCTTAGAATGCTAATAAATGTTTTTATCATATCTTCATAACCAGGTTGACTTAGGCTAACAAATATCTAAAATACGATGACAATGTTTTTACACTTGTATAAATCATGTTAGTTATTTTTAAAGTAGTCTTCTAATTCGCTTATTTACTTTGTAAAGTAAGAGATGTTTGTTTAAATGGAGACATTGGAATTCAATCTTAATATACTTTTCTTGTTTACAGGTAATAATTCTGAAGAACAAATTGATGGCTGGGTAATCTCTTCTGAATCTTGTGCTTTCCAGGCCATTGGAGCCAAATTCTGCAGGGAAGTGCTTCCTGGTGAGTGAAGTAATTTCTTTCATTTAGAAGATAAAAGCTGCATTTAAACTTTGTTTTGGTTCTGATCCTCTGTGTGTGAAGTGGGGAGGGAATGACATTAAAATATCCCCCTCCCCAAATTTATAGACAAACCATACAGATGCATACTGCAATTTCTTGTTAGCAAATAAGATAGGCCACTTCTCATTTTCATCCAACTTAATTCTGTTCTTTCTTGTCATCCTCTTCCTAAATTTATAAACAAAACTACACAGATGTGTGCTAGGATTTCTTCTTGCCAATAAGATAGGTTACTTCTCAGTCTCATTTGACTTAGTTCTATTCTTTCTTGTCATACCCCCTCAAAAAATTTATAGACAAAACCATACAGATGCATGCTGGGATTTTCTTCTTAATCAATAAGATAGGCCACTTGTTGATTTCCCAATGGGAATGATTGCAAAAGTTTTCTCCTTTTTCCTCTTATAGTCAGAAGGACACAGAATGCATGCTGGGATATTTTTCTTAGCCAATAAAATGTGATAGCTTGCATTTTGACAGTCCAGATTTGCCTTATCTACTAGACAGACATACCGTGTTCACTTGGTCAACCTTGTTTTTGTGTACAAACACCAACTCCTAGTTTGTGAATTATTTTGCCTTCTTATCAATTTTGATTTGCTTTAACTATATTGTTTGCTTGTTTGCATGAGTGTTGCTCTTTCATTTTTTTTTATTTTTTTTTTTTGCCTTTTTTCTTTTCATTGCAAACTTTATTAATTCTGATTGTGTTATTTATCTTGCGCTTTAATGATGGCTTCTAACTCATCACCACTTCTCGGTATCACTTTTGTGTGTTAACACCATTTTTAGTTTGTGAACTTTTTTGCTTTATTACTGTTTTACCTAATTTTGTCTTGCATATATTGTTTGCTTTGTATTATTTTTTGCTTTGTATTTTCTTATTTGGGTTTTTTTTTCTTCATCCCTCCTGCAAACCTTGCCACATTCATGGTACATTTTATGCTGTGTGTTATCCTCCACCAAACTGCAGTCAAAACACCATGAAACTATAAAAATACATTTTTATAGTAAAAATTTCCAGAAATAATTAATAGTAAAAAAAACAAAAAATTTTAGCTATAGATCTTAATAGAAAAAAAAAATTCCAGCAGTAGATTTTAATGTTAATAGTAAAAAAAAAATTTACCAAAGCACTCAAGAAAATTAAATTTCAGCACTAAATGTTGATATACTATTAACAAGCCAGACCAAACTATAGAGAATTGACTATTTACATTGTTTGGACTGTTATCCTCATCCTAGTCACGTTGTATGTTTCGGCCTTCTTCAGGTGATTGGAATTTTGAACTAAACCCTTTTTGTCCATAAGGATAGATTGTTCTAGTTCCACATATCATGTCTCTTCTGGACGTCTCAGTTATCTCCCTTTAACTCAACTCTTCAAGAAGATGGCCAGAGCATACAATGGCCGAAATGTCGTGAACATGACAAAGATGAGGACAACAGTCCAAGCAATGTAAATAATTACAATACCTCATCTCAGAAATATAGAGAGTTGGACACTGTCATATTTTGAATTTTCAAGCGACTACATTGAATTCTGATGAAATAAGAGAGTTCTTTCTCCCTGGATTTTTTGATTCAGGTCACTCTTACAAATTAGAGGAATTTCCTAGTAAGCAAAAATGAATGATTTTTACCTTTTCTATGAGACTTGTTTTTTTTCTAACGTTACTTATCATAATTCTTTAATTTTGCAGGTGAAATTGTTGAAGTAAGCAAAATGGGTGTAAAATCTTTGTGTATTGTTCCAAGGAAGGAAGACAAACCACCTGCATTCTGTATCTTTGAATATGTTTACTTCGCTCGTCCAGATTCCATTTTGGAAGGTGAGTTGTTTTTACTTTCTGTCCTGGGTATGTGTGTGCGCAGAGACTTCTTGCTGATGCTGAAAATTTCTCAGCCCAAACAAAAAGCCTTTTATTGGCAAAAAAAAAAAAATCTGATCTTCTGTCATTTGTTCAGAGTTTGGCAGATATGTCAGACCAAGAACATTTTTGCACTCTTTACTCTCTCATATATATATATATATATATATATATAATCTCAGTCAGTTATGTGCTTGTGTGATACATGCTTAGATGATCATGTATCTTTCAATACATGACTAACTAGACAGATTTTTTTCTGCGGTTGACTAGTTGGCATCCAAGACAACCCGGGGAGAAGAAGAGGATTCATACCTTCCCCAAGGGTATTAGCATGTAAGTGAATGTAATGGATTTGTATGGAATTTGAACTCGGCTCTCTGATTCCTCAATCCGAGCGGATATCTATTACTCCACCGTGTACACACATATATATATATATATATATATATATATAATGGAACCAAAAAAGTACTAAAATCTATTAATTGATATATTAAAAAAAAAAATAATGTAATTTTATAAGTCACATAAAATCATCAGGTTAGCCATATTTTGCCCACACCTGTTCTACAGGATCAAATATTTAAATTTCTGACTTTTACTGTTGATGGTTCTCTTTGTTTGTCTGGCAGGTCAAATGGTTTATTCTGTCCGCAAGCGGTGTGGCCGCCAACTTGCCAGAGAACACCCTGTAGATGTTGATATAGTCAGCACTGTTCCTGAATCAGCCACTCCTGCAGCTATTGCATATGCACAAGAAGTGAGTATAATAAATAATATCGTTGTTTTTTGTCATCCCCACCCTTCAACATATTGTCCCGGGACACAGTGCAGTCTGTACTGTAATTTTTTTTAATTTCTTAGATTAAGCATTTTCAGTTATTATTGTTAATCCTTTAACAAGTATTTTTTAATCTTAATTTCAATTGCTTTTTTATCACAAATCTCTCTGTAAACATTAATGAAGACATTTAAAAAAACAAAAAACTTTGACTCTGAGAATATGAATAGAGATCCAACAGGAAATGATTTTACCCACCACCCCCTCAGTTTGTAGATAGCACTAGGAAAATATCTTTATTGTCTACTGATTCCTTTGAAGCAATAAAAATTCAGCTGAAAAAAAAAAACATTCCAAGTTTTTTCTATATTGCTAGCAAGCAAAAAAAAAATGCCTAAGACTAGATGGACCATAAATGCTGTCAAGCAATGTTAAATAAAAATGTTTATACAAGGTATCTCAAAAGATGTGAAGGAAGTTTTTAAAACAATCTAATATTGACTTTTTTTTTTTTTTTTTTTTTTTTAGACCAGTTTCTTTGCCTTTCGATCTGTCACAGTGTTTCAATTGATGTGGCCTTCCAGCCTTCTTCAGGCATTTGTTACATTTTGTAAACCTCTAGCAATATCAAACTGAACTCTGTGTATTTTTAATCTTAATAAGTATAAAAAGAATATTAATAAAAAATTTGATTATTTTAATCCTTTTAAGCAGATACAGAAATGTAACCATCTGGGTAGTTTAGTAACAAACAATGGAAAATGTGAAACAGAAACCTGAAGATATATAGGATTAATAAAAGATGTATTCCAGAAACTAACCAAAGTATTACAAAAAGTAAAAAAAATCGCATAAGAGGTAAGGAAATGCTAACGCGTTAAGAGGTATTTCTTTTATATGTGTCATATTAGTGGTAATATCTGGAATTTTTATTAACTGGAGCATTGTCAATCATTATTTTAAAAAAATATAAGAAATACTACTTTAAATAGTTGACAATCCTTCATCTAGTAAAAAAATTAAGATATTACTACTGCTAACACTACTGGTGTAAATAAAGGTATTGAAATTAAGATATAAGAAATCCTTGTAAAAATGATTCATTTAATAATAAATTCTAAACGTATCTATTACAAATATAACTAGTGGAAATAAAGCTATTGAAATTAAGATATAAGAAATCCTTGTAAAAATGAATGATGATTGACAATGATTCATTTAATAATAAATTCTAAATGTTTCTATTACAAATATAACTAGTGGAAATAAAGCAATTGAAATTAAGATGGCAGAAATAATAGTCAAAAGTGAATAATGGTCAGCAATGATTCTTCTCATAGTAAAAATTAAAGATATTTTCAATGTATCATTTGGCTTTTATAATTGTATATTCAGTTATATAGTCTTTTGTGCCAACAAAGTTCAGTTACATATTTTTCTAGTTTAGAGGTTAGTGTTTGAATCGAAGTAAAAGACAAAACTTCAAATGCTGATTTTCAAGGCTGGCAGGCACTCTCTCTTTGAAATATCTGTACAACACCATCTTCTTTTCCATCCACACCACATTTGGCCTTGTAAGGTAAACTTAGTGAATATTAATGTGTTTTGGAAATAATATAACCTCACTATTCACTAGATGTTTAACATGTAGACATAAAATGGTTGATTTTCAACACCAGTGGAAGCACTGGTCTCTGCTTTTGGAACATTAGTTTTATTGAATAATTTTATTGTTAATTTTAAATAAATATGATATACAAAAAGTGTTACCCAGAGGCTCAGTGAATTTGAACCACATGTGAAATGCATGTAATACATTTTTGCCACTATCCTTTGTAAGTAGGTGTGTAAATTGCAGATGGAAGTTCATTTTGAAAATGATAGAAACTTATGAACTTTACTTTTTCTTTTTCTAAATTACTTGAATTGTATGGTAGCTCCGTCTATAAATTTATTTACTACAATTTTTTTTCTTCCATAATTTATAATTTTCAGAACATATTGTAGACACAATATTGATACATAGAAAAATTATCAAAGGGAGATAATTTATATCATCCCAATCTGTTGTGTATTTTCTCCAATATATTTAATGTATATTAATGATTAACAAATTACAGTCCAAGGATCACATTCAGCCAGCCATGATATTTCCTCTGCCCTACAGGCCATTTGGAATGTATTATTATACTGAAATAATCTAATATTATGTATAAAAAAAAAAAAAAAGTTTTTTGTTCATGTATTATTTCAGACCCACTATAAGATGATCAACCCATTTGACATACTGAAAGACAAATACAAAGAGAGGAAAGTTAACTGACTTGTTTAACTTCCTAGATTAAATATATTCAGCTTTAAAAAATCTTTTGCTCAAGACTTACTTTCAACATTTGGCATAACACATTTAAGAAAACACTTTCAGAGCTAAATCAATTTAAAAGTTATTAACAGGATAGTTTGCATGTAAATAATTTAAAATGTAATGTAAAGTTATGCAAATTACTAGCTTGCAATGCTAATGGTGGGTCTGAGGCATTGTGGGCCATAATAATGCTGCCATTGTCCTTGCCAGAAGTTCATTTTATTTATTTTTTTATTTCTTTTTCCCCTTCTCTTTCTTTGATGAAAGACTGTGTTGATGGTGCTTCGTTTCCATCAAGTGACTGCCTACATTAGGATTCTTCCTACCAAAAAACTTGCCCACTTGGATTAAATTTTGTAGACATAAGATATTTCTTAATAACTATGGTAGTCTGTAGACGTATTAATATTTTTATTATTATCGTTATAGCTTGGAATTCCATATTGTGAGGTTCTTTGTAAAAATCGATATATTGGACGGACCTTTATCCAACCAAGTGTAAGATTGCGTCAACTTGGAGTTGCCAAAAAATTTGGAGCTTTATTTGAGAACTACAAGGGGAAAAGCATTGTCCTTATTGATGATTCTATCGTGCGAGGAACCACAATGGCACCAATCATCAGACTTTTGAAATCATCTGGAGCTACTCAGGTAAGTTAATTCTTTGAAAATGTCAGATTCTTTTGAAAATACCAAATTGGTTTTCACAGCTAGATTTGCCAGACATTAATAATTCTATAGGTTGCTTTTATTAGGATTTATTATTATTATTATTATTATTGCAATCATTACTTACTATTGCTATTACTACTACACTGAGGTACCTAATACAAGGTATGGAGGGGGGATCTTAATGGTTGTGTCAGTTTTTCTCATTATGCAATAAGCAGAGGGTCCTTAAAAAAAAGGGAGTGCTGAAAAATCATTGGAACAGCATAAAAGTGCAAAATTAATAAACAAGGATAGTCTTAAGTTCAGGAAGTGGAGATCCCCACCCAACACACAGTATTAGGTATCTAAAAGCACTACTGATAGTAATAGTATTAATAAAAGCATAGTGTACATGAAAATGATTGAATTATTTACATAAAGATTAGCATTTCTACCTAGTCAGAGTATCTGTGCATGCTGATCAAAGTGTAGTATCTGTGTACTATGAAAAGTTATACAAATATATTTTTCCTGAATCTATAGACCTCTGTGAAGCATTGGGCTACAACACCACCACATGAGGGGATGTTGCTGCAGTTTCAGTAGGATATAGGTTTTATAGGGTGCCACATACACAGGTGTGTGGATGGATATACATCGGGTTTTATATGAATGTGTGTATTATTATTATGAACCTGTCTTGAATTTATTTGAACAAATATGAAAAGCATATGTAGAAAATTAACAAATGCTACAATTTCTGTGACACATTAACTGTTCTTTGTATTTCACCCATTTAAGTTTGTTTGAAAAGTAATTACCACTGTAGAAACAAAGTATAATTCAGTGACATGACATGGCAGGAGAAAAAAGAATGAAACAAAACATTTGAGAGTCAAACCTTTTATGAGTTTAACAGAAGAAAAGAGAAAGGAAAAAGATTTACAATAATGGTGTTTCAAAAAAACATTTTGTGGACTTGTCACAGATAAGAAACATCCTGTTAACAGTTCTTTGAGGTCTTTTGATTTCTTGTTGTTGTGGTAGTGGTATGGTAATGTCTTGGCATCTCGACTTCTTGAGGATCAAAAAGATGTGGAGTAGGCGCTACAATCACAGATCTGTTGAAGTTTTTTTCCAAGTTTGTACATGCTACTCATTAAAAGCCAATGTGGGAAAGAGCAAGAATGATTCAAATGGGCACACAAGTCAGGACAAAGCAGCTTCAGTAAGGAGCCCATTCAAAGTGGGTGGGTGTTACTCCGAAAGACTTATAATAATTTCAGTAATGTGAATAGATACAGAATAAAAATGTTATTAGTTCAGAATATTGGTCATTTAATATCTATGTCCTGATTAAAAAAAAAAAAAAAAGGAAATCACCTTAAGTAGTGTTATAAAATAAGACATATCTCGGCTGATTTACAGGCAAATAAGCTAACATACTCAAGAGTGAGAGCCAGATGTGAACAGGACAAGGCCCCATCATAAAATGACCATATTTATGCGTTTACGCATATTCCCGACGCACGAGTTCCGGTCGAAAAATAAAATAATATTTTAAAGTGTTTCTATTTTTTCAACCAATAAAAATGCTTCCCTCCTAATTATACTCGCGTCGTTTTTTTCAGCCTGTTAAGCCATAAAAAAACGCCATAAAAGGGGTCACACAGAAGTACAACAGCAGTCAACAGGATGCCAGGAAGAGACCTGTCACGGTCAGGCTGAGCGGTCAGCAGCAGTAGCAGACAACATGCCAACCAGCCAACCAGTGAGAACTACTATGAGAGATCAACCCAGATCTTCAGCCGGCCTATGAACTATACCACAAGGTAGCTGTCCCAAACCCACACGTTCCTATTGAAATAAATCACGTAAATCTATTTCTACTGTTGTCGTATTTCTTTCTTGCAACCACCATACGCTTGTCTATAACAGTAAAATGTTAACTGGTTTCAATAGAATATTGCAGTGAAACGTGAGAGTTGCAAAAATTAATTTCAATGAAATCCAACTTCTTATTACAACATACAACCCAGCAATATTATGCCTCCAAGAAACTCGCCTGAAAGAAAATGACACCTTAGACCTTAAACATTATTACAACCATCTAAACAAGCAAGCCAATAAAGCCTCAGGTGGGTCATCAGTACTCATCAACAATAATGTCCCTCATAGTGAAATGTTGGTGGAAATGGGAGAGGTCTCTAAAACTCAATACTTATTATTACTCTGTCCACGAATGAACAGAGGACGTACTGTTGTACCTGCTAAGGGCTATTATTTGTATAATGTAAATGAATTGCAAAAGATGTTCTGTAAATTCATTAAAAATCAAGAAATGAAATTTTATTGTTCAATAATTAATGCAAGCGGTACTGACAGGATAGGGCTATTGTATCCCACAAACACAGTGAAATATTTATTTATTTTTTGGATTTTCTTTATACCTGTTGGCATTATATTAAGAAAGAATTTTTAAAAAAAGTTTTTTCTGTCACGTCTTCCAAATGATAAGATTGTAAGTTTTTAAATTTTCTATGTTCTTTACTCTGACTGACCTGAAGCTTGCTTTTGTGCAAGCAATGATCATGTAAAGTTTAACATTTTCTTTGTCCTTGTTTTTTCTATCATAAATAATTTAAAATTTGCAGACACATTTTACACGTATACACAAGTACTAAAAAGAATTTATTACATATTTGCAATCAACTTAAAATTCAAAGTATAGAATACCTTCTGTAAAATGGTTGTTAGCAAAATAATTTCACATGCCATTGCTTATAAGCTGATGTAGGTGTTCCAATATGGTAGTTTTGTGCTAGGCTAGATTAAGCTGAATCAATATCAATTCTTTTATCTGGTCAAGTAATTTATTGATTTTATTTAAAGATGAAGATAATTTTAATCTCAATAAAGATCCTGATTTTCTCATTTGCATTGGTATAATTCTTTTTCTTTTTTTTTTCTCTTAAGGTACATGTCCGTGTAGCTTCCCCTCCAGTGAAGTACCCATGCTACATGGGTATAAATATACCCACTAGAGAAGAATTGATTGCTAACAGATTTAACCTGGAAGAATTAGCTGATTATCTTGGTGAGTTCAATTTTGTTTTGTCACTGGAAATAACTTCTCTCTATCTCACTCTCTCTTTCACTGGAAATAACTTTGCTTTTCTCTGTTCTCTGAAATCATTTTTCTGAAACTCCCCCTCTTTTCTCTTTCTCTTTATCATTTTTCTCTCTCTGAAAATCATTTTTCTCTCTCTCTCTCTCAAATCATTTTCTCTTCTCTGAAATTCATTTTCTCTCTCTCTCTCTCTCTGATTCATTTTCTCCCAAGTCTCTCTTAACTGAATTCATTTTCTTGTCTCTCTGAAACTCTCTTGAAATTCATTTTCTCTCTCTCTCTCTCAAATTCATTTTCTCTCTCTCTCTCTCTCTGGAAATTCATTTTCTCTCTCTCTCTCTCTTCTGGAAATTTTTCTTTTCAAAAAATCATTTCTTCTCTCCAATTTTTTATTTTCTCTCTTTCTGAAATCATTTTCTCTCTCTTTTCTCTCTCTGGAAATCATTTTCTCTCTCTCTCTCTCTCTGGAAATCATATTTTCTCTCTCTCTGGAAATCACACTCTCTCTCTCTGTCTTTGCTTTCGAATGTCAGTGACTATTTTTAACTTCTGGTTAATCACGTGATCATCTTTAACAACTAAATAAGAACAAATGTAAAGTGAAAATGTCTGCAATTTTGTAATATTTTGCCTTAAAATGTCAAATTCTACATCTTGTAAAAAGGAGAAAAATTATCTGAAGAAAGACATGTTTCAGGAAAAGTGTGAATTACAGTCATTTTGTACCACTGTTAATGGAAAGATAAACTGTTTGATTTGCAACCATTGCATTGCGATGTCAAAAGAATATAATGTGAAAAGACATTATGAAACAAACCATCGATCTTATGATAAATATGAAAGAGAGATGCGTGTTTCAAAAATGAAGGAATTCAATGTTTGCTTTACAAGAATTCAGAAAGGCAGCGTTGGTTTTGTCACTGCAAGCTTTGAACTCTGTAAAATGATCACTATCAGTGGAAAATCTTACATTGAAGGAGATTTCATAAAGTGATGTCTTGTAAAAACAGCTGAAATTGTATGTACAGTGAAGTCACACTTATTTCAAGACATTAAGCAGGAACACTTGCTGAACAAATTGATGAAAAGGCAGGTGATTTGGGTTGACAGTTGAAGACTTTATCATCAAGTCTTAAACATATTTTTATTGCTCTGGATGAAACAGTTGACATAGCTGGAATAGCACAGCTTGACATTTTCATCAGGGCTTGTGACAATGAATTTCAAATTTATGAAGAACTAATTGAAGTGGTCCCAATGCATGATACTACAACAAGCCAGGACATTTTTGAGAAAGTTGAAAAGCTCTTCCATGAGTATGGCCTTGATTTGAGTATACTTGTATGTTTATCTACTGATGGTGCTGCCATCTCCCAACCATATTTGGATGGGAGACATAATGGTGTTTCTGCCAAGTTAAGTACAAAAATAGAAAATATATATCCAGATTCAACATTCAAGCATTTTCACTGTAATATCAGAGATTGTGCTCTGCATCACCATCAGTTTAGCCAGTTATTGAAAGACATGAATAATCAGTTCACAAATGTCCCATTCTACACAGAAGTTTGGTGGCTTTCATGTCACAAGTGAACTGAAAATATTTTTTTTATTGCAACATGAAATTGTTATGTTTTTGGAGATGAAAGGTCAAAGCACAGATGAATTTGAAATTACAATGTAAAAATAAGTTCATCACTCAGTTATATGATGATATCAAGTGTTTCATTGCAAAATTAGCTTTATTGAAGTCCCCATTGTCACATGAAAACTTGATTCATTTCCCATGTTCAAGAAGTTGAAAAAACTGCCAATATGGCAGCATAGCAGGGGCACGGCCTGCTGTCTTTGGTCAGGATCGATCCCGGTATCCGAGAACAAGCCATCAGCCCATACTCATCGGTCGTTGATGGTGTTTGATACAGCAGCTGGTCTTTAAGTTGACCTCTTCAACTATGACCTCTCTTAACCACGTTGTGATTTTTGATCTTAAGAGGGCCAAGCTGAATTATCACTGGGGTATCTCAACCAAGCTAAACCAAGGAGTTGAATACGCGCACACAAAATTGAAAATAAAATAGACAATGCCTGAATAAGTCACTATATGTTGTTTATATCAAAATGAAAAAATATATTTACAGTTCTTTTTTTTTTCTTTTTCTTCTTTTCTCAACCCATTTCTAATATTTGGCAACGGAACAAAAATTTCGGCTAACTTCTTTAAAGGTGGCCAGACTTGACAACTGGATTTATCTTCAAGTACTGTTGTTTGTACTTTCTAGAAGGCACAAGGTTATCATCAGAGTTTTTCTTCAGCAACAGATAATTATTATTATTAATATTTATATGTTGGCAAAACAGCGTAATGGCAGAGATCTCTTAACTCCCCATCCACAGCTTCAACTCCAACTACTTTAGCTCCTATGGGGCACTTGTATTTATGGGTGTCCCTTCCAACTGGTGTGGTGCAGGTGAATAGGTGAGTTTTATGCAAATCTCCTAAAATTCAACCAGTCCCCTTCTCTCATTTTCTGTTTCACGCTTCCAGTTTTGGAAGATCCCTCCTCTTTAGGGAGGAGCCATTATATGACGTCAGCCTTCCTGATGTCATCTTCTGCCTTCACAATTGCTCATTCTGTTTTCACAATTATAATTTTTTTGGATGACAATTTTCCCAGTATGTGGAGATTGACACCTTTCAACAGACGACTTTAACCTCTGTCCTCTGACTCCTGCACCTGTTCACTGTCTCTCAGCAGGCAGCGACAATAGCATTCTGTATATTTTTTTTTTTTTTTTTTTTTTCAACAAAATTCATACATCTGTTCCCAATGCCATGGGAAAATAAGTCTCTTTCTGATAAAAAATAAAATCGTTTTCTTTAACCCTTTTCATCCATACACCATGTTAAATATTGTTACATCAATACTGAATCTGTATTTATCTTTGCTAAGTACGACAGTTACCTAGAATTTCAGTCAAAGGAATTTCAACAAAGATTTTGTGATTTTTCATCTTGTGAAGATCAGTTTTCATCATTCTCAGCACTGTTATAAAATAAAATAAGACATATCGCGGCTGATTTACAGGCAAATACTCAAGAGCGAGAACCGGATGTGAACGGGACAAAGCTCCGTCACAAAATGACCATTATCTTTCTTTACAAATGTTTCCGACACACGTGTTCCGGTCGAAAAATAAAATATTTAAAGTGCTCTATTTTTCGTCCAATAAAAATGCTTCCCTCCTAATTATACTCGCTTCATTTCTCGAGCCTGTTAAGCCATAATAAAACGCTATAAAAGGGATCACACGGAAGTTCAACAGGTGGCCACAAAGGAGACCTGTCACGATCAGGCCGAGCGGTCAGCAGCTATCAGCGGGAGAGCTTCAACCACTGTCAACATGTGTGAACTACTATGAGAGATCGACCAGATCCGAAAGCCGGCTTATGAACTTTATCACAAGGTAGCTGTCCCAAACCCACACGTTCCTGTTGAAATAAACCACGTAAATCTATTTCTACTGTTGTCGTATTTCTTTCTTGCCACCATACGCTTGTCTATAACACTGGTGTCAGAAGCGTACAGCAAGAGAAATATGGCTGACTACACGAGCCTCACCCGAGCCAAACTATTTACTCTCATCAAGGAACAGAAAACATTACTATTCAACTTGAAAACGGGACCAACACAGCCTTCCGAAGCCACGATACAGGAAATTCAAGCCGACATAAACGACATGCTGACTGCCCTAAAATCAACTGCTTCAACACCTCCCGCCGCTCAAACAAACAGCGATTACAGCTTAATGATGCGCCAACAAACTATACGCGACACATTGAAGCTAGAGAAAACTTTTCACCCTGGACACGACGTGAACCGATTCGTCACGGCCCTAAACAAAGTATACACAATCCACGTCACGCCAAAACTCAGCACCTATCCCAGCCTGGAATGCGAATTCGTCAAGTCTGCTAAAGATTTACTGGACCAAAGTATCTTTCAGCAAATGGTTGACTCAAAAAGGACATATCCACCTTCAACAACTGAAGGAATACTTATTAAGAGCCCACGGAAGCCAGATGACTAACTTCCAACACCTCAGTCAAGCCTGGGACCTGGAACGGTGAGACGGCGAAAAATTAACAGACTTCACGGGTCGACTCGAAAACACCCTAAGAGAGGCAGCCGTCCACATAAAAAACAAATACAAAAAAGACAAAAATACAGACTTAACAGTCAATGGACTTATTTCCATCATCGGCGCTATGCTAATGAGCGAAAAGGTGAAAATTTGGAACTCAAATCTCTACCCACATCTCGTCAAGACAATGGACAACCACTATTCAGCCATTGGCATAGCCTCCAAGCTCAAATATACCTTGATCGCGTAAAAATCCAACGACACGATTTCGCACAACACTGTGTATTTCACACAGAAACCACAGTGGTCAAACCAAAGAAACACGCCACTCTGACCCAGCAGGCAACCAAACCCACAGCAGACGGGTCTCACCAACCCTCCCGAACATGGCCACCATCCGACACGCAGAAACCATCAGCACACACCACGAATCAGCGTGTGCAAGAACTACCTCAGAGGCCACCCCTGCCACCATGGACGCAACTGTGTATATCGCCACCCACCTCGCACTCGGGCACAAGCCCATATCGCCGCAATGAATGACAATATACAAGCCATAAATGATGTGGAACAGGATTTTCGCTTCGGGCAGGACGAGATGTGATGCCTCGTTCGCCATGCCCCTACATCAGCCATCACACCTTCAACTTTCAAGGACTCGCTCACCATTTACCGCTCGTCCAGTCCACCTTCAACTTCAGGGACATCACCTTCTCTGGCGTCGCAATGCTAGACTCTGGATGCTCCACCTGCATCGTACCAATATCTCAGTTACCCAGAGAAGCCAAGAAACTCATGACCCGCTCCGACGTCGTAGTAAAAGGAATCAACAGCAGCAGCACCACCACCCTCGGCGAACTGACTTGCAACATCACCATCGGCAGTCGAGACTCACCCACATTCAAAAAGGTTAACGTGCTGGTAACTA